AAAATAGACAGGGACAGGGTGCCAAATGATCGGAGTATCTGTATCTGCTGTTGGAGGGGCCCGGTCAGCCCCTGAAGGCAGCAGTTAAACTCTCTGGCTGCCAGAAGGACCTGAACGAATCGAGTGTGATTTGGGGTGGTATTCCGCACAAGGTTCAGAGAATTAAACAGCTTTTTTAAAAGCTGAATTAAATGGGGATTATTAAGAACAAAGTGACAGTAAAAATTAAAAATGAAGCTCCTGATTCTACTTGGGTATTTACATTTCCTTAAATCTTATTCCAAACCAAATTTTCTTAACCTGAGATCTAAAGACCCCCTAAAGAGTGAACGGATAAGCCTCAGAAGATCTGTGAGGCTCTGGAAACTGCATGCAGTGGTGTGTATGTTTGTACACATGTGGTTTGGGGATGGAAGAAGTCTATAGCTTTTACCAGGTTCTCAAAGAAATACTTCATCCCAAAAAGGTTAGGAGGCACTTGTTTATGTTATAAACTACTATTGAAAATTTGCCATGTCAATACAACTATTTTATTTCTATAGGAAAAGTATGGTTCATTGGAAAGTATTCTATTTCCCCCTTGAGTCAGAGAGAGTCCCTGGCCTCAGAGAAAGTCCCTGGTCTGTGAGGAACCTTTTTGTCCAGGCTCTGGGATGTGTGAGCTCCAGCCAGCACATGGCCCCTTGGTGGTCGCTGTGAGAACTGTAGCCACAGCCTCCAACTCAGGGGAGACCCGCAAGTCCAGATAACCCTGCTGATGACACATGTCACAGGCTAGATGGGCAGTTGGCACACTGAAAGACAATTCTTTAAAAATTGTTAATAACTATATAATTACATCAACATCCATTAGAAAAACGTAAGAAAGAAGTTGATTTTGAGTCATTATTTTCAAATTGTGTCAATAATAGGACACGGTGGATTTGGCAAAAGAAAAGCCAAGATAACAATAAATAACCAAAGTCTGGAAAACAGTTATCAGTTCAACCCTCTCGTTTTCTGATGAGGGGAGGGAAGTGTGGGGAGGTTAGGAAACTATGCCAGGTCCCACGCAGCTGGGTAGTGGAAGAGACAGGACCAGAACCCAGGTTCCCTGACGTCCAGTCCAGGGTTCTATCAAGATACTTGAAAGTCCTTCTCACTAGGGTGTCAGAAGAAAGGCTGAAGGAGCACTTTCTCTAAGGCAACTGAACCACATTAGAGTGAAGCTTCTCTCTCTTTCTCTCTCAGTAGGTATTCCCATATATCTTTGTAAACCTACAGATAGATACATACCATATGTATCACATTCATTCATTCAATGAATATTTATGGAATACTTGTTATGGGTCAGCCACTGTTCTAGTCTCTAGGAATAAAAAGATAAATACAGTACAGTCTTGTCCTCAAGGAGCTCTTGTCTGTCAGAGCAGACAGATATTCAAGGAAACAGATTTATTTAAGAGCCAAGACAGAGGTGAGTTCATTCCAGGCGCTCCAGTAATTCAAGAAGGAGATGGTGTGACTTAGGGGCAAGGCAAGGATGGTAGCTGAGCTGAGTCTTGAAGAATGAGCAACAGTTAGGTGACAACAGTGGGGCATGCACAAGATCATAGAATTAAGAAAACATTCAGAGCATTTAGGTAACATCTAATACTTCAAGTACGTGTGGCTTGCAGGTGCTAGTGATGGCTAGTTAAACTCTGGGCTGCTGGGAAGCTGGGCAGTAGCTGCATTGGAAAAGCTTAGAATGTCATGCTAAGCAGCATGGATTTTATCCTGAAAGAAGTGAGGGCCACTGAGCATGATATGCTATTTCCATCTGTGGCACTGTGGAAGATGAATGGGAGGGAATAATATTGGAATATCAGCAAGGAGACCACTGCAATAAACCAGATTACAAGTTTTAAAGCAGAACAAAGGCATTGATATGAGGTGAGAAGAGTGAGTAGGAATGAGATGGAGGTAGACAGTAGAACCAACAGGACTTGGGAACCAATGAAATTGGGTAGTAAGGCAAAGGAAGGAGCCAAAGATGTCTCCGAGTATTTGCTTGGGTAACTGGGTAGATGTTGACATTTAAGTCACTGAGATTGGGAAATAGGGGAAGGGGCTGAATGGGGAGAAAGACAGTAAATTTAAGAAGCGGTTTTTGAAACTAGTATAAAGGCGAGGATAAAAAGATGGTAAATTTTGTAGGCTAAAATAAGGATAAGAAAAATAGTGAACTTAGTAAAGGTCAGAGAGATGTTCAGCAGAAAGCTGAACCATAGTTTGGAACTCTGGAGAGAGATCAGGGTAGAGATAGAAATCTGAGGGAAATGAGTACATTAATTGTACCTGAAGTACAGGAGTGTTTGAGATCATCCAGAAAGAGTATATAAAGTGAGAAGAGAAGATAGGCTGGAACAGAAGACAGAGGAACGTAAATATTAAGGAGACAGGGAGAGGAAGAGGAGCTCATAAGAGACTGAGAAGATTGGCCAGTAAGGTAGCAAAAAGACCAGGAAAAGCTAAATCATGAAAGCCAAGGGGAGAGAGAGTTTTAGGAATGAATCTGACTGAGTAAAAGTTCTAGACACTGAAGTGACATAGAGCAGAATAAGAACTGAAAAATGTCTTTTAAATTTAACATCTAGAAAAATCATTGCTGACTTTGACTTTGGTAGTAATAGAGATAGAAAGCAGACCACAGTAGGATCAAAATGGGACCGGGAACTAAAAACATGTTGACAGGGAACTCCTGTGAGGAAAATGAGGGAGGATAATAATTAACAAGGGAACCCAACAGTTTACACTGGCTTCGTAAATAGTTGATAAAGACTTGTACTTTTATGGGGGACATATTAAGTTGAGTCCTCTGAAATTGCTACCTTTATAGGTCACAAACAGTCAGATATAAGAAATGTCAGAAGGTGTAACCTAATTGAGGGAGAATGCACGATATTGCCTTTATTTTTGTTCATTGTATTCTATGAGAAGCTCAGCCAAGACCATAACAAAAGCATCGCTCTCCATAAGATCACATGTAGACTAAAGAGAAGATCATTGAAACGCCTTTGCCAGGTCGACTTAGAGAGGCAGCGCAGCATGCTAGTTCCAAGCGAGGACTCAAGCCAGGTGGCCGCATTTGTGCCTGAGCTCAGCACCCACCACTGGGTGGTCTGCATAAGACCCTGAACCTCTCCTGGGCCTAGTTTCCTCATCTTTAAATGCAGATATAGATATAGAGGATGAAGATGTAGCTCTCCATATAGACATAGATATCGACACATAAAATAGTGCTACTCCCTGAATTGTCTTGAGGATTAAATGAGTTACTTCCTGGCCATCAACGGAAAAATAGATAAGCCAACAGTGGTACATCCATACAATGGAATATTATTCCGCCTTAAAAAGGAAGGAAATTCTGACACATGCCACAACATGGATGAACCTTGAGGACATTATGCTAAGTGAAATGAGCCCATCACAAAAGGACAAATACTGTATGATTTCACTTATATCAACTCTTATAATGACAACTCTTATACCTAGAATTGTCAAATTCATAGAGACAGAAAGCAGAATGGTGGTTGCCAGGGGTTGTGGGGAATGTGGAGGTAGTGTTCAATGGGGACAGAGTTTCAGTTTGGGAAGATAAAAAACAGTTCTGGAGATGGATGGTGGTGACGGAGGCACAGTAATGTGGATATACTTAATGCCACTTAACTGTACACTTAAAAATGGTTGGAATGGTAAATTTTATGAAAATGAAAAAAAATGAGTTACTTCTTAAAGCACTTAGTAACTGCTATGCAAGTGTTTGCTAAATAAATAGAAACATAATGCATTGGCAGATGCTAAAAATGGGCCAAGACTGGAGTGGAGAACAAAAATGACCCCAAAGAACAAAAGAAAGAAAGAATTACGTGAAAAGTCAAGTTGGGAAGGACCCCATGATGAAAAAGGGAGAGAAAACGGGGTGATACCTCAATGTGAGATGAAAAAAGCATAGAAATGGGGAGGTGGAATTCACCTGCTCTTTAAGAAGACCGCATAAAAGTTCATTCAACAAACATTGAGAAGGAAGCACCTACCAGATGCCAGGCACCATGATACGTGCTCCCAGGAAATCTGCAGAGCCAGCACACGAGGAAACAACTGGCCTCAGTGTTAAGACAGGCTTCGGGGAGACACCAGGCTGAAGTGAATGTAGAGTGCCATGTACACCTAACAGGAATAGGCCAGACAATCTTGTGATTGTCAGGGCCAATTGGAAGCTGGAAACAAAGTGTAATTTCCATGGCCATGTTTATCCCTAAGTAGAAGTAGACCTGAACTGTGATTAGGCTGATAGTATTCAGCAAGCCTTCACCCAAGGAGAGAGGGAACAAGCAGACAGACGAGAGCAGTGGCTCTCAGACTTTTCAAACGCACCAGTGTGTGGGTCACACCCTCAGAGAGCCTACTTTAGTTGATCTGGGGTGGATCCTGGACATTTAAAAACTTTCCAGGTGATTCAAACACGCAGCCAAGATTGTGAGCCACTGGATTAGAAATAGCACTTGCTCACTGTATATAATCGATCCCAGGGGACCCTCGCGCAGCAGAAACAGGAAAAGCTGTTCAGGATCTAGAGGTGGAGTCAGGAGGAGGATGTGTGTTCATCCCTCAGTCAGAGGGGACTGTCTGTGGATCTTAACACAACAACAGAAGACCGAGCTGCCCTGACAGGAGGAAATCCACCCCCACCTCCTCGGAAGGTTGGGCTCCCACGGGAAGCTTTACCCCCAGGCTGTGGCTGTGCTTGTGGAGGGTCTCTTTGTCAATTAGCAGAAAGGCCTTCTTAGGAGAGCATGACCCACAGTGGTCTCTCTCTCTGGAAGGAACCCCCACTTGCCTAACCAACACAAGTGTACTCCCCGGGAAAAAGCAGCTGAGGGTCTCTCCAGCTAAACCCCTCCCAGCTCTTCACTACATGGGAGCGGAGAAAGCAAGAGCCCGAGGAGAGGAAGGTGGTGGCAATCCCAGGTACTTACTGCTGAGCGGCCCGGCGCAAGGCAGCCTGGGCCTGTGCTCCCAGGTGGCCCAGGAGGCTGCTGAGGGCCGGCTGCCTCGAAGGAAGCTGAAAGTGCAGGCTGCTTTTCTCTTTCTCCAGGTCTTCTAATCTTTGGTTCAACATCTCAGCTGGAAATCCAAAATGATGAGAGGGAGAAATAAAGAACCATGAAACTCAAAGTAGATAGTCCAGTGTCTCTTAGCCCCACTCCCAGTCAACATTCATGACCTCATACAAAGGTTACCAGTTTCTAGGCCAGCACTTCATCTCTCAGTCGGTGCTTTTAAGAATCTTCTGTCTTTTTACTGACAATACAGCCCTCCCACCCTTCATTCTTCTAACTATCAGAGGGTCTAGTTTATGTATTTATATCACGGTCATAATTATGATCATCACATAGAAGGATACTTAATTCTTTTTAAAAACCCTCGTGGTCAATTGGGAGGAAATCTGCTAATTTTGATGAGTTCTATATAGACAATTGAATCAATGCTTGGGCATTGATTTTACAAATGTTTCCTTAGAAATTGCCCATCAAAATAGAAACAGTCACAGTCCCCAAGTCATAGATGTTATGCTCATATTCTATCACGTTGTACATGACCACCTATCCACTTCTGTTAGAAAGGAGGGGTCCTATTATTTTTTTAATGGTCTTAAGTCTCCTGAGACAGGCATAAATATAGAATCCCTGTAAAACAATTTTTCTTTAAAAAAACCAACTGCAGAAATTGGAATTTCCTCGAGTGAGAACTTACCATCATAATCAAACACCCAAACAATTGGAAAGTTTCCCATAAAGCTATTTTTGCAGAAATGTAAGGTGTCGGTTTAAAAAATACCATCTGCCAAAGTTTCCCTCCCGCTGGTCCTTGCCAGGCGGTTGGGCAGACGTCTCGATCCCCTCCACCCTTGGGTAGTAGGTGGGCCCTGGGGCTACCCGAGATCCCAGGCAGCCGCCTCTGGCCTTGAGTGCCTAGTGCTTCCCCAGGAGTGCAACGCAAACATTGTCCTTCGCTATTGACCTACTTTTCAAGTAGGTCATTTCTAGAAGACTCCATTTCAAATTAAAACAGTTTTCAACAAGCTTGTTACTTTGAAAGCACCTTCAGAACCTTTTATCACATACCAGCAGAGGTCAATACTAATCACAGTGCCGCCCTCAACATGACACTTCTCTCACACCAGCCCACTCCTGGGGGACACACCTGGGGGAGGAAAGGCAGGCCTCAGGTGTCATGGACAGCAAAATTGTGTCTCTGGGGATGTCAACTGAGAGATCTCCCCATAAACTTGCCATATGCATTGGGACGGATAGCCAGAAACTTGCTAAGAGAATTTGCCATGGATTCATTCTAACGATACCAGAAAGGGTCACTTATTTACTATTCAAGACCAAGTCACAAGCAACAAGGCTCTCAGTTCATGCAGCCTTCTTCAAAGTGACAAGATGGAGCTATTCCTGACACCTCACTTACAATACACAGTGGAGCGTGGCCTGACAGGTCTTCCAGGATAACACCGAAAGGTACACGTTCTGTAACACCAAGCTTCAAATATTTTTTTAACTTACTTTATTTTAATTAATACTTTTATTAATTTATTTATTATTTAGTTATTAACTTATTTCTTGCTATATAAAATCAAACCCTCAGTGAAAAACAATTAATTTCTTACCTTATATGCTTTAAAATAACATATTGGTGCCATCATAACGTAGTGGCAAAGATGTGTCAAGATACCATTACATGGGGATTAGGAGAAACCTGAGTTTGTGCCTCAACTCTGACATTTCTAGCTGTCTGACCTTCCAGTTACTTAACCTTCCTAAGCTTCAGTTTACTAATCTGCAGAAATGGGGCTAATAACAGTATCTCCATCGTAAGGTTTTCTGAGGATTAAATGAGATAATCTGTGCAAAGCATTTTGCAGGAAGCCTGGCACCTAGCATGTGTCCAAAAGGACTGGCCATCAAGTGTTCGCAAGAAAGTTAGACACTCAGTCTGGTCTCCCTCAGCATCTACCAGATTCTAAACCGTACCCTCCCACTGCCAGGGGAAAAGTCCCCAAAGAATGCAAGCCAATCCAGCAAAATAAAACCCTGGAAGTCGTAAATTGGCTGGCAAAAATCATGGCCACAATGAATCCCAAAAGAAAATATGAATTATGCCAGGTAATATCTGCAATTAGCTATGTTCTATGCTGCCACTTGCCTTCAAAAATGAAGATACCTCAAGTTATTTCTATTTTATGATTAGAAAAGTGAACAAGGATGGTGACCATCGATTTTGTAGCTTATCATTATCTCTAATTTCTAAATGATCTCCCACTCTAGCCTCTCGATTGGCTCTCGGCTCCAAGGGGTTCCATTTCACATGCCGGCATCACCTCTGGTTGGCAGAGGGTACATTCTACTGGTTCTTGCAAATTACAGCCCTGTTCACTAATTAGATATCCCAGGCAGAGGGAGCTCCCAGCCAGGACAAAGGCCCATAGGTAGCCAACAAAGAGGAGAGTAGTAGGAGATGAGAGGAGAGAGGGTCCTTGATCATCAGGGCGTCAGAGGCCATCGAAAGGACTTTGGCGTTCACCTCGAGGGGGATGAGAGCCACTGGAAGGTTTTAAGCAGTGGAGTGACGTGATCAACTCACGTTTAACAGGAAAACCCAGATGTTCCGTTGGGAAGACCATAAAGGGCAGAAGTCCAGAGACCAGGGACAAGGTCACCACAGTCCCCTGGACAAACCTAATGGTGGCCACCTAGAAGTGAAAGTGGGGGTGGAGAAAGGTGCTGGGATTTCAGATCTTTTCTGACAGATTGGACACCAAGAATGAGAGAAAACAGAAGTCAAGAGTGACTCCAGTGTTTTTAGCCTGAGCAACCAGAGGATGACGTTCCCATGAGCTGAGCTGGAGGAATCTGCTGCTCCCTCTCCCAGAAATATCCTTCCCACACGGGCCCAGGATCCAGGTCTCAGTATCCCCTCTGAGGGCACCTTTCCGGGCCCCACCCCATCCTCCAGGTGGGCTCCCTGGTCTATACCTTCCCTAAGCGCCCCCGGACTTCTCCTTGCACGAGGTGCCTCTGTTTGTCTCTTCTCATTCAAGGCCCCCTGTGTCCATGAGAGACAGACTGTGTCTGGCTGCATGCCCACTTGTGCAAGCAGTGTGGCATAGACTGCAGACAGACTGAAGAAAAGACAGACCTGGAGACAGCGAACAAGACATAAGGTTTATGGGGACTTACATACAGGGCATGTCCAGGGGCGGCCAGCTGGACAGACTTACACACTGTTACCAGGGGCAGGGAGGGGGTTGCTGATATAGGCGGGGGGCACAAAGACTATGTGCTTGCGAAGAGGGCTGTCCCTGGGACAGCCAGCGTTCCCAGGACAGTAGCTCATGTGGAGGGCTCCGTGTTCCTTCATGATGTTCTTTGAGTGCGATAGGTGAAGATCATGGCTGGCCAGGCCCTGGCATCCTGCCCAAACAGTTGGCATCCTGCCAGAAGGGGGCCAGAAGGACACATGGCTCTTAAAGGGCTCGAAGTTTATTGCCCAGCAAGGGTGACCCTACTGCATCACCATGCTTGTCATTGTTTAATCACCAGGAATGCCGCCTGGCTCAGAGCAATTGTGCGCAAAAATGTGTCCAACTAAATTCAAGTTTAGAGTCCCTCATTTTGTTCATTGTTTTGTGTATTTTCATAAGCCGCTTTAAATGCTTTTCATTAGCAACTAAATGAATATAAAACATAAAACTCATCAAATCCACTGCCTAAGTTGCAAGACTTTACTCTTTCTCCCAAAGGCACCAACCGGGTCCCTGTGACCCCGGCCTGCAGGTCTGGATTCTCTGAGTAGCCTGCTTCTGCATTTCCACATCCTTGTTATTTTCCCTTGTGGTGTTCACCACACTCATGCCTTCTTCTCCATTCCCACTGCCTCCAGTGCTGCCCGGGTCACCATCACCTCCGCAGATGAATGACTTCTCTGCTTGATGGCTCTCACTCCTTCCATCATCTCCACATGGTGGACAGAGCGCCCTTCCTAACTCAGACGTGTACAAGCTAATGAATGAATGAATAAACTGAGGAATGAAGAGACAGTTGCTTTGTCCTGACACTGTTCCAAGCACTTCCGTATAGGTTATCACAAAACGTTCTCAGAATCCTGGGGGCCTCCTCCGGCCTCCAGACAAAGGCCAAACATCTGTGCCTGGCATTCAAGACCACACGCAAGCTCACTCAGCCCCACTCTCTTCTCCTACACCAACACTCTGGTCCTAGCGACACGGTGGCGACACATCATTGGAAAGAACACGGAATCACAACACTGAGAATGAGGGCACCAGAATTCTGCATGAATTTGACACCAACTGCGTATACAATATTTGACAAATCACCTTCCCCATTTAAGTCTCAGAGCTTCATCTGCTTTATGGCAATAATATCTCCAATGAAATTATAATTTTTATTAAACAGCAAAGAAGTGTATTGGAGTCTGCCTTAGCTTAGTCTGCTTGGGCTGCTATAACAAGGCACCACAGACTGGGTGGCTTAGACAATAAACAGCTATTTCTCACAGTTCTAGAGGCTGGGAGTCTAAGGTGACCGTGCCAGCGTGGTCAGGTCCTGGCGAGAGCCCTCTTCTTGGCTGCAGACAGCCAGCTTCTTGCTGTGTCCTTACATGGTAGAGAAAGAGTGGCCTCTTCTTATGAGGGCACCAATCCCATCGTGAGGGCTCCACTTCGTGACCTAATCACCTCCCAAGGACCCCACCTCCTCACGCCATCATGTTGGGATTAGAGTTTCACATATTAATTTGGGGGGACACAAACATTCAGTCTATTGCATGCCTCAAAGGGGGAAGAGAGAAGCTTCAACCAGAATGGCCCACTTTATCCATTAATATAGACGGTGTGGAAAAACGGTTCCTCTGGTGAGGAGGAGTATTTGAAAATAGTATTTTTCACTTTCTAAATGCCATGCCTATTTATTATTTCATGTATTCACTCAATTAACAAATACCTCTGATAACTCAATGTTGCTAGGCTGTAGGGCTGCAAAGATGAACAGGACATATTCCTGGTTCTTAAGGAATTCAGTGACTGGGATGGGGTCAAAATT